TCTTGGCCAGAATGGAGGTGGGGGTGAAGCCCACCATGTGAAATGACGATGGAAATGAAGCCTAATTGGGGACAGTAGGGTCTAATGAGGACAACATGGGGCATAAGTCTCCCAGGTGTGCATGTGTGGATCTAGGTTTGCATGACTGTGCAGGTTGGGGACCCAGTAGGTTACTGAGCCCCTCTGGGGAAGCTGAAAGCCGTCTGTCTTGCATGGTTTCTCCTTTATCCCAGCTCTAACTCCAACTTAGCTGACTTGCCTACTCTATCAATTTGTGTGTTGATTGGATTTAATAATTTTATCGCTATGTCTTACGACTGACTCAGTGGGTTCCCAAGGGCTGGCTGTAGCTCAAGTTGGTTGTAAGTCGATACATCTGAGAGCTGGATGTTCACCTGAATCCACATTATAGCTAACAAGAGGCAGATGAATCTTCCATTAACCTAATTAGCCCAGGCTGTTCGCATGTCAGGCCGGTCATAACTTGAGGGTCCACTGTATCTCTCCCCTTTCCATCTTTAGGTGTTTGTTGTTATTATGGATAAGGCAGTTTTATATACCCACTTTCTATTTAGTGCTGTTGTTTACAATAATTCTTTAAAATTAGTGTATTGAGGATTTGGAAAATATAAGATGGTCAACTACAAAAATAACAGAAGGAAGTTTTCTTCTTTTCTGTTACTTATGTAATTATGAGATTTCTTTATCATTATCATTATCATTATTCATTAGACCTCTAGGACCAAAACCAAGAACTCTATGATGATCTTGAGTAAGTGATGGTGGGTGACATCCCTGTGATGTTCTCAATTTAATTGAAATGGTTTTAATATTTTTCCATTTATAATATTTACTGTTACCATTGTCAGAAATATATTTTCCCATTTCCCAATTTTTACTGCTATTTTGCTTATTATTTCAGTGATGACTGACTCCTGCGAAGTTCTTTTTTAGCCTCTATTGATATGATCGTATGGTTTTTCTTCTTTACTATGTTGTGGGATGTATTATATTAATTTCTTGACATAGATCTAGACTTTCACTTTTAGAATAAACTTATTTAATCACAATATATGATCTGTTTAGTACTTAACTCTATTTTTAAATATTTTACTTATTTATGTTTGCTTCTACATTCATAAGTGAGATTTAAATATGAAATTTAGTAGCTTTTTGTTATTGTCTTTAGCAGGGTTTTTTGTTGTGGTAGCTTTATGACATGAATTGGAATTTTCCATATTTTTCTATAAGTTGTAATATTTTATTAACACTAACATTATATAGTCTTTAAAGTTTTGTAGAAAGATGGTGGATACATTTCTCTGGTCACAGCACTTTTGCTGTCTTTTTTTTTTAAGTAGAGATCTTTATAGCATCTTCCATGGTACTAGGTCTACACGTGTCTTCTATTTCTTCTTGGGTCAGTTTTGGTAATTTCTATTTATCTAGGAACTTATTCATTTCCTCATAGTTTTCAGATTTGTTTCCTTAAATATACATGTAACATTCTCTTTTAATTCCTTCAGTGTTTCCTATATCAAGGTTATATTTATTTTTTAAGTATCTTATATATCTTTGCTGTCATTTTTTCTTAGATTCTTTCTGGGTTTATCTACTTCACTGTTACTGTCCCCCGCCTCCAGGGGACATGTTTTTAATTCTTTATTTTTTATTTTATTTTTTTGTTTTTGATACTGGGGTTGGAACTTGGGTCCTTGAACTTGCGAGGCAGGAGGCAGAACCAACTGAACTAAATCTCCGGCCCTCTTTATTTTTAATTTTTCCTTTGTACCATTTAATTTTTTAAAATTAAATTTTGACTTCTGGCTTATTTATCTGTTATTTTTGAATGAAAAATAACTTTTAAAAAAATAGCTTTCGCTGTATCCTATAGATTTGGATTTGAAATTACATCAGTGAGGACACATTTGGCTACACATAGCAGAACGCTTTCCAGAAAGCAGTCAGCTTTCTTGTTGCTGGGACAAAATGCCTAACACCTGCACTTTAAAGAGCAGGGGTTTAATTTGGCTCCTGGTTTCAGAGGATTCATTCCATGGTCAGCTGGCTCCAAGACGTATGCATCACAGTGGAAGAGGCTGGCGGGGCACAGCTCCAGGGGTCAGGGACCACGTGTGGTGCCCAACGTCACTTCTCCGTGACCCACCCAGACACACGCAGAGATGTGCTTTACTCAGTTCTCAAGCCAATCAAATTGACAGTGAAGATTAACCATCCTACCAGCCACCTAATAGTAACTTGGATAATGCAGACATTTATTATTCATTTAACAGGGCTGGAAGTAGATATTTCTAAGGTAGATGTTGTTTCTGTAGTTTAACAATGTCATCAGGGACTCACACTTTTTCTAGCATTTTGCTTCATAGCAGTAGCACCTTGGCTTTTTGTCTATCTTCATGCTCATCACTGCAACAAAGCTGCCACAGTTCCAGACATTACCTGCTCTATCCCACTTGTAAGCAGGAAAAACAGAGGCTAAAATGGGATTCAGTTCTCCTTGCCTGAAATGTCTTTTTTAAAAAAATCAGAATGTTCTATTGACTTCTTCTTACTTTGATTGTTTATAGTTGGGTCACATGGCTACTCCTAACTTTGAGAAGATAAGAAGTGCCTGACAGCTGGGCATGGTGGCAGTGCCTGTAACCCCAGCACCCGGGAGGCTGAGGCAGGAGGATCACCACCAGTTTGAGGCCAGCCTGGGCTACAAAGTGAGTACAAAGCCAGCCTTAACTACAAAGTGAGACCTTGTCTCAAAAAAAAAAAAAAAGTCTCTGGCAAGGGGGACAGGATTACGGAATTAAGCAAATCATGACTGATCCCCTGGGCTTTAAACATTGCCCCACTCTAGCTACAAAGAGTTTTTCCTGTGTGTATTTGACTGCTGTTTTTGGTGCATACAAGTCTGTGATTGTTACATCGTGTTCTTCAGTTTCTGCCTCGTGCCATTCAGTGCAGTTCCTCCACTCGTTTTCTGGGCTGGGGTCTCCACGGATAGTTTGCGGCTGGCCTTGAACTCACTTTGTAGCCCAGGCTGGTCTCAAACTCTTGGCGATACTCTCTTGCCTCAGCCTCCTAAATGCTGGGGTTATAGGTGTGCGCCAAGTGCTTGGCTGCATTCAACCCCTCATTCACTTGCTTCAAACTCAACCTTGTGTCATATTGTGCTTTTTTTTTCTTTTTTAATAGCAAAACATTTATCGGTGCATTTCAGGCAAACATAATAACAACACTCATCACAGGGAGTCTGCACCTGTACATGACGCAGCCCGCTTCTTTCTCCCATCCCCTTGCCCCTCAAGCCCCACTGTGTACAAAAGCTTTGTTTCCATTTTTTCCTTCTGGTTTTTTTTGTGCCCCTTCCTTCCTTTCTCCCTTTCTCCTCCCTTGTTTCCCTTCCCTTTTGAACATTTTCTTCTCATTTTCCAACATATATTATACATTGTAGTCCTTATTTCCACTTTTGGTTTCTCATACCAGAGCAACAATGCAGTATGTAAACATATGTATTTCACTTGTGAGTACGGTCTCATGGTTCATCCATTTAGCTATAAATGTCTGAAATGCATCATTTTTTATGGCAGAGTAGTATTCCTTTGCATAAAAGAAAAACCCAACCTGCATTTTTCTTTATCCATCCCTCGGTGGACGAGCATTTGGGCTCTTCCCAAGATCTAGCTATTATAAACATGTTATGAACTGCTGTAAACACGGGTTGCACACATTTCCTTCCTTCCTTTCTTTTGTTCTGCCTTTGACACAGTCTTACTATGTTGGTACATTGCCCCAACTGGGCTCAGACTTTCGATCCTCCTGCCCCAGCCTCCCAGAGCGCCGGGTTTGCGGGCGTGTGCCGCCACACCCCGCTTCATATTGTCACTCTTGCTTCTTAAAGTTTAAAATTTCCTGATATTGCTTTGTTCATCCCGGTACTTTCACCCTTTCTTTTCCTTCTTTGCTGTCTTCCTCCCTCCCTCCCCCTCCCTTTCTTCCTTTCTCAGTGTTTCTTATCATCGCTACGGAAGAATTTCTTCCATTCATATTCAGTGTGATACTCTTGCTTTTCTTCTTTTATCAGCCTCATGTCCTTCCTACTTCCCTTCCCTCCGCTCCGGGGGTGCAGTTGCAGCAGCCAGAGCAGAGGTTCTGGGTCGGCGCCCAGGTGCAGGTGTGGGTGGTGGGACCTGAGCAGGTTGGAAGCACAGCTGGGGCGCCTTCCTGACTCTGAACCCCCAAATCCAGTCCTCCATCCTTCCTGGGATTCAGTGAGCCGCCCAACATTTTTAAATTGACTTTTTGTTCTGTTTTAATTAGCAAGAATCGCTGCTTATTGTTTCAACTAAGAACTCTGAATAGTGGGCTTCCAAGTTTATAGGTATGTGGGTTTTTTGCTTTTCAATCAATTCTACAGAGCATCTCTGCTCATTGAGTTTTGTGTGGACAATGAAAGTGGCTGTCATGGTGGACAGGAGGACCATGAGAGCTTTTCCCATACTTTGGGGCCCAGCTGTAGCCTAGCAACCAACAGTCAAGATGTCAAAACACAGTTTCCCAGGAACACCAGTGCGCTCTGCTTGTTTGCCCTTCACAGCCAAGAATGAGCTGGGACAGGTCACCCTCGGACCCAGAGAGCATCCCCCAGGCTCCAGTGTACCCTGCTGTCTCTCACGGGGTGCACTTCCCCGAGTTTCCTGCTGCACCACTTACTGGAACGTCGGTAAATTTTTGACCGCTCTCCGTAAGCCACCAAACACTGCCTTTTGCTCTTGTTTAGACAAATACTGGAGACCGAGAAGGGACAGAGGACAGCTGGAGCAGAGTATTCCAGCAGTTCCACACTCGGGAGAGAATTCTCCCACAAATGTCTACCTAGGCTCTGTAGAAGTCTTTTATTCTCATTTTTATAAGACCCGACTCCTCCCTTAGAAAGTAACCCAGGTTTTGTGGGCTTTAAAGTTGTCTTTATTTTTTTTTTAATTAGAAAATTACAAACCCACTTATAAAAAAAATGAACATAAAATAAATGAAGGAGGTAAGAAAAGCTTTCTGGACATGGAAGGCCCAGGCTTTTGGGAATGGGGCCCAGGTGTGTGTGATGTCCCAGGCCGTCATCTGGGGACCCTTGACAACACTGGGGGTGAAGTGGGTCCGAGCTGCAAATTTCTGAAGTCATCTGTTAAGTCATGTACACCCCAGGACTGGAGAGAGAGAGGGAGATAGGGTGGGATTAGGATGTGCCCATGGGGGAAAAACTGCAGGGAGGAACTGGGGGAGAGGCAGAGGGTGTGGGAAATCAAAAGGAGGAGGGAGCGGAGCAGGGGAGCCGGAGGGGGCTAGGGAGCAGGCCTGAGGTGCGACAGAGACTCACCGTCAGGATCCGCTGGAAGCGCTTCTTTATGCATTTGCTGTAGTATTCCATCTTGTACCAGGGCGGCTCAAAGGGCCCTGGCTGGTGGTCCACAAAGTTGTACCAGCAGTGAGCGAACTCTGAGAGGGAAGAGGGAAGCCAGGAAGAGCTGCACCTGGGGCAGGGTCCTCTCCCTCCCTTTTCCTCTCCCTGAGCATTGTTTGTACCCTGAAAGTCTTCCAGGGAATGTCAGATCTTGGGCCTCAGCTGGGCCACCGTACTTCTTTCCCGCCCAGCTCTCTGTCCACCTGTCACCCCCAGCCCCACCCCGTGGCTTGTCCTCACCAGTTGCTCCTTCTTACCTGGGTAGCCCATGACAGCAACTGGGACCTGGGCCCTGCACAGCCGCTGCAGCCCCTCCTGGTAGCTCTTCCTCCAGTGAAAGTACAGGCGGGCGGTGAAGATCCTCAGGTACAGGTGCGGGTGACTACTTTTAAACAAAACCAGTTCCTGGGCGCAGCGTGGGCAGGGGCTCCATGTGAGGAAACAGGTGACTTGGTAGCTCTGGGCTTGGTCCAGGCCCAAGGAACAGATCCTTTTAATAAAGCGACTTTCTGCATGGTAACCTTTCTGGAGGGGTCCCAGGCAGAGAAGAAGGGTTAGCAGGTAGCGGCCATGGGTGTTGTGGCTGGGGCTGAGGGGCCGTGTCCTGTGGACACTCTAGTGTGGGACCCTTGCCCAGCACAGGAAGAAGCTCCTTCCTTCATCCATCAACTCTGCAATCCCCAAAGCTCCCAAGGCTTTTGTTTTTTGAGACAGGGTTTCACTATGTACTTCAGGCTGGTCTTGAACTTTCTATGGAGCCCAGGGTGTCCCAAGGCTTTGGACGAGGATTGTGGTGTGAACAGACAGGATGGGGTCAGCCAGACCACACTTCCAGGTCGCAGTGCTCTGTGAGCATGGTGTGGGACACTTGCCCAAGGGCTGCCCAAAGGTGTCTGAACCAGCTGGGCACAGATCCCAGCATGTAGGAGGCTGAGGCGGGAGGATCGCCACCAGTTCGAAGCGATATGGAGTGAGTCAGGGAGGGATGGGGGAGGCTGGCAGGTATGAACTTCTCCAGGAGGGGCAGAAAGAGTGCTAGGCAGGAGAGCACAGCCCCTGCTGGGTCCTAGAGCTGCAGGCTGGAACTCGATAGAGGTCAGAAGCCAGGAGGCATTCAAGTGGCAGTGGAGGTCCCTGCACACCAGTGGGCCGCTGAGCCCCACCTGCCTCTTGCCTAGAGCCTGTCTGTACCTTGGTCCGAAGGCAGCCTTTGGTCAGCAGGTTGCCGTTGGCCTTTTGCACCTGGTAGCACAGGTAGGTCACTCTGCGGTGGTAGGGCTTCGGGACCTTGTATGCGTTGTTAAACTGGATGCGGAATGTTTCTTCTTTCAGAGTCATCTCCCCTCTGTGCAAAAGGAGAGAGCTGAGATGCAGAGCGTCCTCCCGAGCCACTCCGAGGCGTGCGCTCTGCTCATGTTGGGGACCTACCCGCGGGGAGGTCTGCAGTCCCGGGGAGGTGAGAGAGGCCCTGGGGAGGGGGAGGAGCGGAGTACGCGCCCACCTGTGCCGCCTCCTGTGCACCCCTGCAGCTCAGGGGACACTGCCCATGTCACCCTTGTGAGGGGTCCTCCCCGAGAACTGTGTGTGCACCCCTCCCCTCCATGACTGTGTCCCTTCACTCAGTGTCACCCACACGCCTGTGTCCCGAGTCCCATCCCTTTTCTCTGGCTCGGTGGCTACTCTGTAAGGCTGGTGAGGAAAACATAGGCTGACTGGGGCTGGTGTTTTTGACCTCCCATTTATTTTCCCACTATGCCTTATTTTGGCAGAAACATGGTATCTACAGCAAAGCCAGGGGCACTGGGGGCTGTGCTGATTATGTATGACCCAGCTCGTGTGCCCTCTAAAATGAGATTTTTGTTTTGTTTTGTTTTTGATACCGGGGATTGAACTCAGGCCCTTGTGCTTGTGAGGCAGGCGGCAGAATAACTCAGCTAAATCCCTGGCCCTAAAATGAGGATTTTTCATTTGACTAAGAGTGGGTGAGCCTGGAGGGCTGATTCAGGTTTCTCCTTGGAAATAACTTCTCATTTTAGGTAAACATTCTGCCTCTGTGATTTTGTCAGGGGCTCCTAAAGGGTCTGTGGGAACACACAGGCTACAAAGGGGAACCTTTTACTGTGTCCCAAGCCCATTTCGTCGCTCTGGCCTTCCTTCCATCCTACCACTGTGCGGCCATGGGGTCCCTAACTGTGCGAACCTTGAAGAGCTACAATGGAAGGTATGCTAGAAAACACTTACAATAATTATTTTAAGATCAATTTAATTTTTGTTTCACATGGGTAGCCTCTTTTTTTCATGAGAAGAAATGGATCTTCCTATTTTGTATGGACCTTTTCATCTACAGAGCACAGATTACAGATTTATGCATCTTTATGATGAAATTTACAGAGAGGCCTTTACGTGGTTTCAGCCATCCCTCAGCCTCAAATCGGCAGCTGAGCTTGGGAAGGCTCTGAAAAGCCCCTGTGGCCGTACTGTGGTCTGTCCAGGGACCAAGAGACAGAGGACATGGGGTGTGGCTCAAGGGGGCTGGGAGCAGAGAGCGGCAGAGTACCCAGCCCCAGCTGCCTTCCACTTGGCCTGGCTCAGCACCTCCTTGACTGTGGGCTCTTTGGTTTTATTTCTGTCTGAGGCCGCCCGCAGCCATGGGAAAGCCCCTCGACTAAGACAGTCCTACAGCAATGTAAGCAGCTGCCACCTCCTCTTCCTGCCTCGTTGTCACCCAGGGAGGGAGTGTCGCCTCCCTCCACCTACCTTCTCTCCTGTAGGTCTGAGTACCTACTCTGTGGGCCCAGCTGAGCCTCCCTGGCTGACTTGTCCCAGGGCTGCTGTCTCCAGTACTGGGTCTTCACTTCCTGCCCACAAGGCCCTTGCTTTGGGAGGCCAGATCTGTGAGCAAGACCGACCACCCAAGGCCATCTGCCTGCAGGCCCCACCCTCTTCCTGCCTCAGCCTGGAAGGGGTGGGGCTGAGACCTAACTTCTCTCTTTCTGTGTCCCTGGGTTGGCACAGTAAGGCCTGTCTCCAACACAGGAGACGGTGCAGGACACAGGGGTTAAAAAGGGAGTCACTGATGCCAGCGGCAGGGAAGTAAGGCCCAAGTGGAGGCACTCAGCACTGTTCCGGTTTCCAGCAGGACTCTGGGCACAATGCAGAGGGCTGGAGGGCAGGGCACAGGGGCAGATGCCCATCCTCTATCCCAGTCCCCAATAGATCAGAAGGGACCGAGGCTCTGACATCTCAAAGGTGGTTCCAAGCACAGAAAAGCTGAGATATTTCTGGGTACAGCCAGGGTGAGGTCATTTCAGCCTCTGTTGGGCCCTACATGAATCATGTACTCTTTATCAAATGAGCTGCTCCTGAAGCCTACAACAAAAAGCCATTAAAATTCCTCTGAACAACAGGCATGACCATTATATTACCCTAAAACCTGGATGCCAAATCGTATGGTAAAGATGACACACATCAAAGGCTTTCTAGGGTGCAAACAACATGTGGCCTGACCTTTGCTCCCCATGTCCATGGTTATATCTGTAACTTCTTAGGATGGAGGAACTCTTACAGAGGTCCCTGCTTTTCCCCAGGTAGTGGGACAGGTATTGATAAGTTATTTCATGACCCACAGGCCCTCCATTCACAATTTTGTTCTTTCTTTTCCCCCCTGGTAATGGGGATCTAACTCAGGACCTTGCACTTGCCAGGCAAGGGCAGCGCTGCTGAGCTACATTCCTGACCCTTCCATTCACAATTCTGAACAGAAATACTCACAAAACAAGTAAAAGGCAGAGCCCCCACTGGCTGCTTCTGGATCCCTCCTTGCTCTCAGGAAAAGCTGGGGGAGGTGGCACAGGGGAGGAGATTTGCTGCCCTCGCAGGCCTCCCAGGCCAGGGGTTCAAGGACCTGGACCTCAAGTGTGAGTTCTAGAGGCCATCTGCCTGCCTGGGCACAGGTCAGCCAAGGACCTTGAGATTTGAAAACAGAGTGTTGTGAAAGTTGACTCCTGAGAAATTAGGAGTGGCAGCCAGCACTGGGCACCACTAAATAATGCCAGATTTATCAACCATGTTTCTTGGTTCAAGACTAGTACACTAAATAAATTAATTTTTTCACTTTCCTTGGAAAACTTTATAACTGTTGTCTACTAACATTCTGTAAAAGGATGACTTCCAATAAACAACTTGAGCAGTATGTGACACAAACTTCCAATATTAATACTAACTGTGATTAAATAAAAAGGTCCAGCTGTCTCATTTTATATTTCAAAGGGCCCAATCTCCAAAAAGGGTCACAATAATCAAGAGTAAGGCCCACCGCTCCCACTTCAAGACTAGGGTCACTAGTCTGGGTGTTCAGCAAGCGAGACTGAAGGCCATCGTTCAAGGGGATGGGAAGGGGAAGGGGACGGCCAAGAGTTTGGCCTTTGCCCTCCACTGTCAGCCAGGGGGACCCCTCTACAATGACCCTACAATGCTGGGGAGTCACTCAGCCTCCCAAGCTGGGGGATTGTTGGACCCCAGAGGACGGGAGTCAATCAGTGTACATTCTGCAGAAAGAGTGTTACCGAACAGGAGAATGTCCCTGTGCTTCTAAGTGAAGTCACAGAGCGACCCATCCTGGCACAGCTGGTAGAGGGGAAATCTAGAGGTGCTGAAGGCTCCCGACACAGCCCCGTAAGAAACCCTCCAGGGACCTTGACTGGCCCCGACAAATAGATTTTGACTAACATAGTTCTTATTTTGACTTGGTATTAAACATCCAGCAGAAAAGTATAACCATAACCAAACAGTAGAATAATTAATAGTCCTATAAAAACAGCTAAATTGGATCTAAAAAGAGGCGCCAAACCTTGCATCAACTGTTACTCCAGTCTCCAACCACACCTATGACATCGTAGCCTGCTGCTGTGAGAGAGCCACATGCCCAGTACCACTAGCTTCTCCAGAAACGTGTCCTTCAGCCCTTAGTATATTGCTGTTGTTATTTCCATGTCCACTCAAATATCTCTATGGTAAAAATTTGGCTTCTTGTATAGGCCTGGCTAAAAAGATAAAATGCCAATATGAGTAGTCTAGTCACTAAACATTATTATGTTTGCAGTATACACTAACTTCCTCTTGTCTACTTCAGATCTTATATATTCCTCAAAAGCCAGTCACTAAACAGTGTTCAAACCTACAAATCAGAGGCCAGATCCTGAATTCTGATTCTTATAGTAAGAGAGGTAATGGCCAATGTTTGCATCAAAACAGAGTTATCTTTATCTAGTTTATTCCTTGGCCATATTGTAATTAAAGTAAAAGAATTAGATTTCTTGCTCAGATTTTAAATGACAGAGACGGATAGCAAAACACAGCCTTTCTGGGCCTGAAACTGAAATATCTGGAAAATAACAACTTAGTCAAGAAAAAAAGGAGAACTCTGGGAATCCAGAAAAGGCAGACAAGAAAAATAGAAACTACAGAGAAAATGAAGAAAATGCAGAAAAAATAACGAAGCAGTCTGGAACACTAAACTAGGCCCTTGGGGAGATTTTGTCTCCAAAAACAAAGGGCAAACCCAGAGAGGGTTGAAGGGCCCAGACAGAAACAATGTACCAACAGCACTATCCCAAGAAAAACCACCGGATTGTAAGCTGCAAACACAGCAAGGGGTTTTACTCTGAAAGTGCCTCCTTCCACGTGACAGGGTACAGCTGAAGAAGAAAAATCACTGCAGCTTGATGTCCGCCATACTTGGGAGTCAGAAGCCATCTTGGAAAGAGGTTTATTAAGACTGAGCTACTCAGAAGTCACAGAACAACTTTACTCTAGGGTCTCTGGGGTCACTCTGCCACAGGGGGGAGACAGACACAAGCGACAGTCACAGAGAAGGGATGGGCTGGTCTCAGATCCCTTGAGAAGTTTAAGCAGTGGTGAAGGATATGGCGGTTCCTCTCTCTGCGGTGAGAAGTCAGGCGGGTCGTGGTTTTCTGAGCGGGCTGGGTCTGAAAGTGCTGACATTAAGTCCAGCAGACTGTTTAGCCCTACTTGCTGCCTCCTTCCAGGACAGATCTCAGTAGTCTGTTTGCTTTTCCTATCCGACAACATTACCAGAGATTTGCTTTGGCCTGGATAGTTGCCACATCCTAGGGTGTATGGACAGAGGGAGAAATTTCATGAGCTCACAGGCCAAAAGTTAGTTGGGAGATGGCAGTGACTTGGGGTACAAGAAGTGGCACAAACACTCGGAACTGCTGGAGTGAGGGCATCCATAAGGCAGACAACACACTGACAGCTGACTGTGTCCAGCAAAGACAGCTGGGTAGGACTTAACAGTTGCTCAGCAAAGTGGGTATGGAAACA